TATGTTTTGCTCCTGCACAGTTTACAGTAACTGCAGAGCTTCATTACCCTCACTGCTCTCTGATATACTGCAATCAATACTAGTGCACACACACACACACACACACACACACACACACACACACACACACACACACACACACACACACACACACACACACACACACACACACACACACACACACACACGTGAAAAAGGAATGTTTGATTGGTGGTGGTTCTGTTTCTTGTTACATAATATATATATATTTGGATCCTTTCAGATCTTTTCCCTACACACTTAATTGTTGAATAAATGACACTCAATGAGCTAGAATGACAACATGAAAACAGGATATAAGAAATTATTATAAATGTCTTAAAATTACTAAATAAGTCTCTAAATTGTATAAATATTTAGAACCTTTACCACAAGTTTTACACAAGCATCCATCAAAAGGGCCATAAAACCATCAATATTTCCAGAGATATTGCAAGAAAATGGACAATATCAAGATGCGTTATGTGCCATTCTATGATGGACACATGAACTGTGCGTTATGGGTTAACCAGGAACCAGTTATGCAGGGGTAAGAGTTTTCGTATCACACACCAGAACTGTTATTAGATCAAATCGGTTGAATCACAAAAATATTGCAATCATAAACCACCTGAACCACACAAATCGCCAACTTTATGCAATATAGTTGCACAGTTGTGAGAATGGAAGTTTGAGACAAGGACAGAGGCAAGCAGCCATGTTTTTGAAAGAGACAGAAAGTGTACTACCGAGCGGTGCAAGAATGAGTCCTAAAACCCGGAAATGAGTAAGTATTTGCCACTTCCTGTTCCCTCGTCTTCAAGTCAATGTTTTTTTTGGTTAGATGCCTGAAATAAGGTATATTGTTAATAACAAAGGTTAAGAGGTTCAACATTATGGACATTAAGTCAGTAAGCACTGCACTCTTTAAGGTCATAAGCACAATTAAGTTATCAAAGAAACATCCCATGAATACCTATACATCCAAAACAGTATCCAATGTGTAGCCCGGGTGCAAATATTCTGTCTAACTAAATTTTACTGGGTATGAATTGCAGTGGGATTAGTGGGAAATTAGTAGTGGGATTAAAAGTAGGAATGAAACTTTAGGGCACAAAATAAATTGCGTGTTCAAGGGATATGCATGTTATACTTAAAGGTGGGGTAGGTAATTTTGGAGAAACCAGCTTGAGTGCGCTAGAATTTGGAAATACACAACACGAAAAAATCTGCCACTTCCTCACAGAGCCCCTCCTCCAACACACACGAACGCGCACATGACCAATGAGGGCACGAGATAAGTTTGTGCACAGATGGAAGGCTGACAGGCAGGTAGGCCATCCAGTTACTTTAGCCGGGCCGGCTCAGATGATTGGTCGTGCTTTTTAAAGCGCCACGGCTTCCACAAATGACATTTTTTTAATGTATTTATTGTGAAAGCATTTAATATATTCATTGCTATCGGGATGTTACAGTAAGAGCATTCCATGGAATATAACAACAAGTGTTTCTGAAATAAATTACATACCCCACCTTTAAATCCTTATTCTAGGGAACAAAACATAAAATAGGGTAGTGCAGGAGGCAAATTAACACAGTCTGACCTCTAGATCAGAGCTTTGGAATAGGAACAAACTTAACAAAGGCAGTTTGAAAGTGAAGGGGAGACAGCCGTTTCAGTGCAACATAAGCAGCCCACATTAGTCCCGCCCGTGCCAGTGCAGGTCAACAGATGCAGAGAGATGGTGGCTGTCGTGAAAGGCTTGCCGCTATCTGATTGAGCCAGTATTCAGGGGACGAATAAATGACACAGAAAGAGGCCAGCTCCGACGCAGGTCCAGCTCTCATTTATCTGTCTAATACGTTTTGACGGCGGGCCAGGCCGAAATGGAGAAACTCTTAGCTCTCACTCAATATCCCTGCCTGGCACCCTCACAATCCTCCGATATTGGAGAAGAGAGTAATATTAAAAGATCTGTTATCTAGTTGGGGTGGTGATCCGCCCAGACAACCTGCTGGAAGAGGATGGAGGACTGTTCTCTCAAAGCACAATGACGATATTAAAAAAAAGTGTCTTCATTATGAGACCTTTAATTAGTTTATTCATTCCTAATAGCTTATTGAGTAGGGATATAATGATACAATTCACTATATTCTGCTCGTGATATTATTTTCACATCGTTTTTTTACAGAAGGTATTCTCCTCTTGCCTCGTGTTTTTTAATTAATACAAATATTTTAGGGTCGTGTACAGACTGTGTTAAACAATGCATGTTTCCTTTTTATTATGAATGTAAAGCTGATGATATTTTCTGACAACAAATAGCATGCATTAAATATTTGTGTAGTTCATCAGTGTCTTGCAATAGTTGCACACAACTTGTCCTCTATCTTCAAATCTATTTTATTTTTTGTTTAAGGTAAGCTATAGCATCACCAATATGAATATTTTCATCCAGGAGATTGCTGTTCGTTTTCCAATTAAATCCGACGTAACATCTTATCTTATTTTTCCGTGCTTTCGTGAACTCCCGTAGTTATTTTAACCCAAACACCTGCCTACACTGCATGGCACACTGATTGATCCTGTTGTCCACCATTCTTAGGACACCACAAAAAACAACCAATAACTCATCGCTAGGACACAATGTGAAGATGCTGAGATTAAGAATGATGATGACAATTTAATGGGAACACCTATTATTATGTTGTTGAAGATGATATCACTTTTGTTGTTCAAAGGGGAAAATGTTGTTAAGTGATGATGCTCACTAGCATGTTGTCTTTATTAATGTGTTAAACCATTGTTTGTGCATCCCCAATGTCCAACATATTGAAGATGAAACAAGAAAGGAAGAATAAAGCATTGTCTACCCTCTCTCAACTTGCGCAACGTAAGATAATTAGTGAATACAATGGATGAGCAAACGGAGAAGTCAGAAGGAATCACTAGAATGTACCATACTGTATCTCTCTTGACTGAAACATGGCTGCACCAGGATATTTCTGACGCCAATGTTTCCATCCATGGCTTTCAGGCTTTTTTTGTTTCCGACAGGGAATTCGCCCCCGTGTTCCCCCCTTAGGTTTTACTGGGCTTTCGGGGGGGGTGCTGTCTGGGGAGGCGTGGGGGGATGGGATTAGGGANAAAAAGTAGATACGTAGAACACAAGTTCGTTGAGTCGAATTCTTGGAATGGGATTGGCCTTCCAGCGATCTAATTTACTCACTTCTACTACTTCAATGCGGCATTGAAGTAGTAGAAGTGAGTAAATTAGATCGCTGGAAGGCCAATCCCATTCCAAGAATTCGACTCAACGAACTTGTGTTCTACGTATCTACTTTTTTTCAAGCAGGGCTTTTGAACTGTAGTTCCCATTGTTGAATTGTATGAAAGTCAAGAAAAACTTTTGAATACATTTAAAAATCTCTTTCTTTATTTGGCTATATCAACTAACTTTTACTTATTTAAAAGTGTTCCCTGAGAAGATTCATATTTAAGAGGTTGAAAGGGCTCCTGAGCATTACTCCTGCCTAAAAACATTAATACCAAATCACCATTCCTGTGGTTGATTTTGTAATATATATAGTATTTATAAATCCTAGCCGACAAACACTGTCACTATCTTGGATTTTGAAAATAAAATTAATATGCATAATATTTCCACATTAAAATGTCTAGAAACGACTTGACCCATTTAACATGTTTGCTTGTATATTTAAATGTTTCCAAATGTATCCAGCAAATTTCAAACCAACAGAGATTTTGACAAAAGTAATGTTCTGTTTAATTTGATGGCCATGATCTCCTTTTATTTATTTATATTTTATTTGTGAAATTATCAGAGTTATAGTTGTCTGCAAGAAACTCATTATAAATTGAAATTGTACAATTGTTTACGCTTAAGATCCATGTTGTGTGTGTTTTCCTCAGACCCTAACTCAACTCCAAATATATTCCTTATACAAAGACATCCTTGACCAGTTTCCTGTATCCATGGCGATAGGAAGTGCTCTCCAATCACATCTCTGCATGGAGTGTAAGGGAAGTGCACTGTTTCCTGCTGTTTTCACCGGCTTCCTCCCATTGGTGCGTGCTCAGGACTTCACATTCGGTCCTGGAAAGCAACACAGTTTGTAACCAGTGCTCTTCTAATGTTATTTTTTTTTAGTTAGATTTTTCTCACATATTTACCAACTACAACCCCGTCACATTAAATCGAAGTAAGTCGCACATTTCTCGTTGTATTTTCAGAGTCAGTTGAAGTTTAAAGGTTTTTAGAGAGCATGTTTTTTCTTTTCTTTATTTCTGTTCACTGATTAAATTACAAAACATTTGTTTTAAGACAACTCTCTCTGTTTAACTCTCTGAAAACTACAATACATTCAAACACATTGAGAGTAGTAGTCAGTTAAGGTCTGGTTATTGCTATAGTTATAATAATTTGTGGTACAACAACCCTTTTACTAAAAGTGCTGATGATTTCAAACTATTCTTTTGATTTATTGATTCTGTTACACAGCAGGAAACCTGTGTAATGTGGCAGCAAAGGAAATTAGAGACTAGTTAGAAATAATGTAATTTATTTCTCATAAACTTTCAGAGAATAATCCGCTGAATCTGCATTTACCCTGTTAAATGCACCCCTGCACTGACTAACAAATTGCGATTCTATGCTTTCACATATTTAAATTAATAAAAAAATAATATGCAAACATTGGATGAAAAATGTGCCTATTTATATGCAAATTATTCTCAATGCAAAACCCTTCTGTTCAGCAAGATCAGCGTTAATAGCCGCATGCTGTTACAGTGAAGTAATCTTAGAAACAGAGCTCTACCATACTACCATACGTAAAGGCAACATTTATACTTTGCCAGATGGATAATTGCAAACAGACGCGGGAAAAAAAGGCACATTTCCCTCAAAAAATTGCAAAACTGTTGTGGGTGTGTTGGTAAGACGGGGAGGATACAAATGGAAAGTGGTGTTCCCAGATCTATAAGTGTAATTCTTTGTTAAGCTTTTTATGTTTGAAGCTCCATTTTGAAACAAGTATTGATTGACAGGCTTTTCTGTTACAGAGCACCTAAGGCATCGGAAGCTGCCACCTCGGAGACACCTGTCCACGCTTCTCAGAGTGCGTTCAACATGTGGAAATAATTTACACCTAACAACACTCCATCAATCTTTCCCATCTGGATGAAACCTGGCAGAGATGCAGGCTGGTTATCAGGTAACCAGCATCACACGTCTCCAGATCCCTCCCACACCTGAGACTCTCGTCTTCCAGGCCATCATTAACCCTAAGAGGGGTATGGAGGGCCCCCCGCAGACGCCACAACCCCCCAGGACCTGTGGCTCTCCAGGGGGTTCTGGGAGATCCTGCTGGAGCCTGGATGCGCGGATAGCTGTTCTTCTGGTGACTCTTGCAGGAGCTTTAATACTGCTGCTGCTCTACAAACTCTTACAGCTGAGACACAGGTGTGTAGATTTCGGAGAGTAATACGTGAATCAACAAGTACTTAATTATCAAATTCTGATACGTTACATGTCACCAAACTTCTAGAACAGCCTCGTTTCACAGACGTTTTTTAAATGGCGGCAATCTCTAACAGCATCTTAACAAAATAATGCAATGATGAGCTGAAATACTTTGCAACTTTATCTAAACTAAAACATATATTTAGAAACCAGACCCTGAGTGGTTATGAGCAGGACCTGTGAACTCATGCTTGCTATTTCTTGTCGTTGTAAAAGTTATTTGTTTTTGGTCGTTTTGTACAAAGAAATGATTTGTTTAAAACAATGAATCAAATATCAGGGAAGTTGATGACGATGACCTAAACTTTTATTTTCATGAACAATGTACACTAGAGAAAGACCAGAAACATGTTTAAGCTTCTTCTTGCCCCTTTTGAACATGACGGAAACAATTTATTTTCTATTTTTTTATACCTTGAACGTTTTATTATTTTTTTATTTTGCTTCTCTTTGTTATAATTATTATTTATTTATTTAGTTTTGTTTCTAACATATTCAATAAAATTGACTAATAATTTTTAAAAAAAAGTCAATCCTGTCATGGTAGACATGCAATTCCTAGAAATACGTACTTTTTGGTGTATCCATTCCTATTGATTTTTGAACTTGTACAGTGCAAGGCTAGCTGCCTCCAGTCGTTATGCTATGCTAGGCTAACCAAGCTCTGACTCAACCAAAGACAAACTTGTGCCCTGACTTACGTCTTGTTGGTTTGTGTTGTGTCCTGCAGGCTGAGTATGGCACGGGCGAGGCACGCGCTGGAGTACTACAGCTTCTACCACAGCGCTACCTACACACTCAAACACGCAGCGTCATGTCAGGAACTACCAGACAAAAACGGGACGGTCCCTGCAGGAAGACCACCACCTTTACAAACTGTATCCCTGGTGACACCCGCTGTCATCACCCCATTACCGCCCCCATCTCCTGCGCTGCCTTCGCCTCTGCTCCACACCCCACTTTCTCTTACTCCAACACCTTCAGTCCTGGCCTTCCCTCTCCACCTGCCTGGAACCCACACCACCCCACCGAGCCCTCACCTGTCCTGGGGCGCCTGCTCAGACGCAGATATATACTCTCGGATCGGAGCTTTCAGGCCCTCCAGGCTCTCCAGCCTCTCCAACCATTCAAAAGTCATCCTATTCGAGCACTCTTCTCTCTGACCTATCTATGATGCAAAACAAAACTGGAGATAAAAACATTTGATAAGACTGCAGTGATTACCTAAAGGGAGTTGTAAGAAATGTTCTTCTAATGGACTGATAATCACGATGATTAAGTGTTGGCTTAGAGTGATCTATACTAAATACTAGACAGTATACTGCGTAATAATTCTTATTCAAAGTTCAGATTTGAATTCAGACTTTAAGGGCCATCCAAAACCTTGCGTTTTTGTGAAACATTCAATTTGTTTATGTACTATCCATTTACAGTACAATTACCTTACTTTGTGCCAGACCTCTGAAATGTCCAGTTCAGACTGGTGGAAGTTAAGAGAACTGAAGACTTTATATAAATGTATCACAGCCTTATATATTAGTTGTGAGGCAGTCCTGACGTTTGCATTGTTGGCTTAACTTTATTTTCTGTCTTACTTGCTGATAATACAATTCCTAAATTATTGTGTCTTCATTTTTACAGTGAAGTCATTGTAGCAGAGCCCATTGTTTCGCCAAATGGGAGGCATTTCCTCAGCTGGTTTTCCAGGCAGTGACCCTCCCTGTTTCACACCATCCTCTGTGTTTCCTCTGACTCTCTCTGTAGAAATCTTACTCTGCAGTTCCTTCACTTACTGTCTTTAATGATGACTCTGAAGATGTCCTTTTATTCCAGCGAATGTCACAATTTCAAACGTGATTCATAAGTTGTTCAATTGTCTCTTAAACACATTCAAAATCACGTTACAATTAATACAGGTTGAACTTTAGAAAAAGGGGCTCCTTATAAAAACAGATGTTTGATGATAAGCACAGATTGATATTTTTCTTAAGTAGCCCCGTAGACAGACAGGTAACATCTGTCTGTTGTTGATCTGGTTTCCACCTTCGCCCTAACAAGCTGTTAAAATGAATTTTCTTTGAATATTTAACCATGTTTTCCCAACAGGCCTCTCATTTATAATTCAACAATAGTTTGCAAATTCATGAGGGAGGCTGTTTAAATTGATGTTGCTTTCTGCTTGCCGTGGTGAGAACTGAGACCTTTTGTGACATTCTCCCTTAGTCTTTTTCTGTATTTAGGTCTGAAAGTGAGGCCAATGTCTCCATACTAAAAGCCAGTAAATTCAATCTGTGCATGTAGTGCACTGTCGTCTCTTAATTGGTTGTAAGCCGAGCCAGGGAAGACAATTGAAACAATGCACTGCTGCTGCAATTAAATAAAACAAAGGAACGCTATGCAAGGATGAATATAAATGTGTTTGTGTTCTGGATCAGATTCATATTAATTGAATGTTGTTATCTCCGAATGATATGAGTAGTATTTTAAAATGCTTCATGCAGCATTGAAAATATATCTGAATCAACTGTCATTGTATTGTTTATGAAATGCACATTTGAATCTTTTTATTCAAATAGATTTTTTCTTCTTGAATCATTAGGAGTAGGATAGAGTTTAAAATAACTACAAGGCACATTTCAACTGGTCACTTCAATATAAGTGCCTTTTATATGCCTTTACAAGCAAGTAGGACTATCAAATGGACTATGTACATAATCATTCTTAATGCATACCCCACTGACACTGGGGCATAATTAGCTAAGAGAAATCTAAAAAGAATGGCTAAAGAACAAAAAAGCAAAAATGGACAGTGATACAGCTTGGCAAAAAAAGAAACACCTGGTTGTCAACTTTTGAGAGGCGCTAAATTAAAATCTACCCTAACCTTTACCACTCAATGTCAATGCCTAAACTTAACCATATTGCAAAAGTTTCACAAAACAAGGCTTACCATTTTGACACGACCATAAATGGATTAAAAGGAATCCGAACCAATCCTGAATTCGCCCTCTTATCCTAGACTGATAAAAAACTTATAAAAAACACTTATATATAAGTGTTTTTTCTCCAGGACTTTTTAGCTGTGAGGGTTGTTTTTTTTGTAGCTTCGAGTTTCAAAGCTGGATGTTGGCCACCTCACTTGCATGATATGGAGCCCCCTAGGGGACATGGAGAAGAAAAAAAAAATTATTTGAAAAAAAAAAATAATAATAATGTTTTGTGAGATATCGCAAAACTTTACATTTAGCTCAATGTACTTCCTGGTCAGTTCGGCTGCTACGGCAACACAGAAACCACAACAATGGAGCGGTTCATCGATTTTACTTTGAACTTGGCCTTAAATATAAGGATATAACATCAGTCCTTGGCAATAGGCACGGGTTTCACACATAGACTGTATATATAAAGGGTTTCACAAAAGTGAAGACACCTCAAGAGAACACTCAGAGCGAGGGGACATGCACGTCCCTCTGAGCTGAGTTATTGACAGATTCAAATTTCGCGGATCAATAACTCATGAACATAACGTTGTAAAAATACAAACAACATGACTTTACAGTCATAGCAAGGTAGATAACGAGCTACAGAGCTGTTTTTATCAGAACAGTTACATACGCGCCGTCATCCGGGCTAAACATCAAGAATTGGTCACAATCTGCAGCTTGAAGAGGGAGAGGAGTGCTTTGGGATACTTAGTCTACAAACTGCAACGGGGTTTGCGAGGTTCAACCATTTTTGTTCAAATATTTTTATTTTCTCTCCATGTTCCCCGTAGGGGGCGGGATCCGTAGCATGACTCCGGCGGTGGATTTCAGGCAGTTTGCGCACCGAGAACATGTAGTATATATCACGCGGCCTCGAGATGTCTAACGGTTGTGGGATCATCTTTACCACACGACGTTCTCCTCCCTGTACACTTAAGAATTCGTGCATGATTGATGATAGCTGTAGGGATATCACTGTTCTAATAACGCTTCTTGGCGACTGAGTAAACAGTACATCATTAACATTGAAGTGTCTTTGTATCGATATTTTCCAAACTACAAATAGCTGTTATATTTTTTGGCAGTCAAGCCATTGCAAAATGTGTTTAAAAAATAAACCTATTGCGAGACTAGCGTTGGTCGGCAGCGGCGAGCCGTGACTTTTACACCTAGGACGCTTGAAAAATGACTCGGTTACCAATTTTCGCAATGATCCACATATCAGTGAAATGAAGCCCTCATGAACAACTTATGCCCATAATCAATAAATCTATCGATTAGATTTT